TAAGGTTTACAATACATCTCGAGGCCCAATCGAGCCGGCGACCCTAGTCCGCCAACCCGGTTATAGCCTCGGGCGTCGGCTTTTCGTCCTCTCACTTCGAAGCCAAAACGCCACCACGAGAAGGCAGTGAGTAGGGCTTCCTCAGCAGAGGCTATTACAGACGCCTGATAGTATGGAAGCATTTCACGTGGTGCAACGGAAGGGTGACAGGCCGCAACCCTAGATACTCAGCCCCGATTATACAGATGATTTCGGAGAAAAGATGAACCTCCATAGTCAACACAGAGTATACAGTCTAACTGCGTTAACATTACACTTCAAGCATTTAGACCTGTTAAAAATGCCGAGGATGTCATTGCTGTTGGTACGCTGTTATGCCCTTCAGTGTCCAGAAGATGACAGACACTTATACTACCAAAATTCCTAGGGCATTTCTTTACACCTCCTTTCATAAGAATCTTTTAGTTCGCTAAGTATGCTTGAACATTCTTCATCAAAATTAAAGACAAAACATATCGTCTGCTTACTCTGAATCACAGCTGTCCATTCCATGCCAAAACTTAGGAAACCATCTAAGGGCATTCTCGTATCAATGTCTAGGCATCCTTTCAGGGGATATGTACCGAAATTTCCTGTGCTTCTGTGTTCACATATTTGCTGAGTTCCAAGAAGTGGTATGAACAGTATCTTGATTCCACTGATCAAAATGGATGGAAAGTCGTAGAAAACTTCATATGTACGGTGAACAGAAGGCCATTTTCAACGTTCATCCATGGACTGTTCGTGAATTTGGACCCTTGGATTTATTTCCTGCGTTCCCTATGAATCTCTTATACAACTGATTCGACGAATAATCACCTCCAAAAAGGCACAACAAATATTTCGCAGAATGTGTAAGCAAGCTTCAGACGCACGTTTGTATTACTCAATTCACCTATTGGACGATACCGGAAGCCAGTGGATAGGACGTATGCCACGGAGTGTTGATGGGACTGTCTACACAGATAACTGCCTTGATCATACAGTTCTGGTGAACAACCATCCATCGGTCATCAAACAGATCACTGGTGAAAAACTATTAATTTCATCATTCATGATTATTGATGACTACTTCTGAAACCACTGCAGTCCTCTCACATCAAAGTTCTTCGGTGCAGCAATGTGCTTAATTAATACTAATCAATACACACGTGGAGGAAATCAAGGTAAGATGCAATTCTTATGGTTGTGTTAATCTTGAATAAATTTCGTCGTAGTGCAGTTTGTCTGACAACACGGGTCGAAGTGTTAGGTAAAAAGATTACTTTTACCTAAAACTGCCTATTTTTCGAGTATTTTCAATTAGGGGCATCTCGAATCAATACTAATCTCGCGGAGATTAATCAATGATATTGCGTCATACGGAAACATTCACTCCGTCCGTCTGATCTGTGACCTACGACCGATTGAACTTTGCTAACTGTGTACTTGATTGGCACAATCTTTTTCTTGCATTAATCGATGCTATTTTGGGTCACATATAAGCACCAGAGTAAAACTTGTAAATTGACTTGCTTCTTGTGTGTCAAGTACACGTTCACTGTGCACTGTGTTCTTACTTACGTAGCTGGGAGAAGGCTATTTGTACTCGTGTCCAATCTGTGCTGTGATCGTACTCGTGGGGCTAGACGATTAGTGTGGCCGTTGAGGTACGTGTGTTCCTCGTGCGTCATCGTTTGATATCTTGTTGTGTGTACATTGTGATCAATCGGGATTCGGACACAATACGAAGGCCGCAACAAAGTGCATTGGATGAGAAGCTCTAATGCCAAAGTAGAGCGTATGGTAACGCAAAAGCTTTCACCTCCGCCCAACTCTAGATTGTACGATGTGCGTATACACCAAATAGTCGGTGAGTGCAGGTGTTTACTTAGCTAGAAACTTATTCAGAGGCTGTTCGTTTCCAAACGATTCTGGAAGAAAAAAGGCGAGCTGCCATTTACGGATGCGACATTTTGCATGCAAACACCCGAAAAGAGACAACGGTGAGTTTATAGTTTCACTTGAAAGATGTTTGTAGGAAAAAAGACGTTTCGCATCGGATTCCAGCGATAGTGAAGAACAGTTTAAAAAAGCAACCCACATGGCTGAATTGGATGCGACTCCCCGACCACTTAAAATTTCTCCACAACAGGAGGTAGTGCGCGAAGCTATTGAATTACCAAAAACAATGGAAAATTCAGATTCAAAGTATGCGTAACACTACTTATCATCAACTTCAGCTTACTTTTTCCTACTACGTCCTTTACTTGTGGCACACCGGCATCAGTGTCAACGCCAAAGGACAGGTAGTGATGTCATTTTTTAATATATCGACTTTAATCAAAGATCTGGTGAAAGCAACCTGCAAGTCTTTTTTTATTACACACCTAAGTGTGATGAACAGCAGACGGGGCGAACCCCATAGTCACGAGGACCTGCTGTTCAACGACGGAAACCGGCAACCTAAGCCCCGGGGCTTAGAGTGACGAACCACATAAGGCCCCGATAGGTTAGGCGTCATCGATCGACTTTCGACAGAAGTTAAAAATTCATCCAAATCGTTGAATAATTTGTGTAATAACGTTGCCATGTTAAATGGAAAGTTCGAAGCTATGCTTGGTAAGAAACACGATCTATGTATACCTGTTTCTCAGCCTGTCAGGAAAAAGGTATCCGATAGAAGACCAACAGCATCTCAAAGCTGGAAACGGATATGCAACGCCTGACGCAACAGATTTCTGAATTATGAACTAGTAACGTCACATCGGTACAAGGTCCTGTAAAAACTATTGAGGACTATCAGCTACTTATGCATGAACTAAAGGACAAAACGATGTATGCCAACATAATGAGTTGACCAATTTCGGTGAATTACATAATTTAGTTGTAAAACCTATCGAAATTCGGCGGCCATTCAGCGGCCGATACAACAAGAACAATCTTGCGATCATTATTGTCTGACTGACTTCTCGTTGCCATCACTTGGAGAGGAGTGAATGGTAAACTGCCGTTGGCAGACACCAAGGTTTGCCAACTGGTCATTGGTAATTCAGTGCCAACTGTTTGACTATTTTAAACACCTATTGAAGATGCGGTATTGCGCAAAAGCTATCCAGATACAACAGCTCAAACGATTATTGTTAAAATACAGCGATAGATTCAGAGATCCAGACCGAAAGCCAGCGATGAACCGATAGCGGATTCACCAGTTTGCGCCTTAATCGAAGGTAGGCATTGCTTGCAACATTTACTTCCGCTTTCTGATCCAAGTTAATGGGCCTTCAACCCGCCTTAACCACTGCCTTTTTTATTACACGCCTAAGTGTGATAAACGGCAGACGGGGCGAACCCCATAGACACGGGGATCTGCTGTTCAGTGATGGAAACCGGCAATCTAAGCCCCAGGACTTGGAATGGCGAACCACATAAGGCCCCGCTATGTTGCCTTGCGGTTGGGTTCTTGTCAGAACTAAAGGCTTTGGCTGAGAACCTTAATCATTCTCCTGGTTAGTGGCTGGACACCTTGGCAGTACCCGTTCATAAAGCTCTGATGAACACAGACTAAAACTAATTTTATACTACATCCGTCGTCGCGCAGGATAATCAGGACCGCGCTGCCCGTTGCATCGAACGGAGTGGGTAGTGATAAGTGGGCTACTGCTCAGATATCCCAACTTTTGTTTAACTCTTTGTTTTCTATACCCAACCCTCTCTCCTTCCCCGTTCTTTCATGCCGTAACATTGCCTCAGACAACTTGGTCACCACTCGCCAAAGG